CAGAAGGTTGAGAACCATTGTTCTAATCGATGGCGCACGCACTTTCTGAGCAGCACTTCAAAGCGTATGAAGAAGTGGAGAATTGGGTCTCTGAATGGTTTGCTCAAAACAAGGAAAGTTCTATTGGGACGGTATCCAACAAATTACCTGAAAGATGGGGGCATTGTGTAGCTAGCGGTGGACATTACTTTAAATAAAGCACTTTTGATGTTTCTCTTGAAATGATCGTGTTTTCTTTGATTACAAAATCCACCATTATTAACTGGTACACCTGGTAAACCCACTTCAAATGGCTTTGGGGGTGGAGGAAGTGAATGGATAGGGCTGGAGGGGAAGTGGTCTCATGCATGACAGTCCAGGAATTTGAACACTGTCAAGAGCTCATTCTGGCTTGGCATCTATTGCTTTATTCTCTCAGGTCAGTTTCCCCATAGGCTGCAGCTGAATCCACGAGCTCTGACCAGAGGGAAGGAAGGCTTTCCTGACCTCAGAAAAGTCCTGGGGAGGAGTTCTGGCTCCTTGTGGGTCATGTGTCCACTCTTACGGGTGCAGAGAGGGAAAGGATGGGTCTGCTAACAGAAGCAGATGGGAAGCAATAGAAAGTCTGTAAAGGCAGGGTCATGCCCTAACTGGTTTGGCCCAGTGGATAGAGCGTCAGCCTGCGGAATGAAGGGTCCCGGGTTTGATTCCAGCCAAGGGCACATACCTTGGTTGCAGACTCAATCCCCAGTAGGGGGCGTGCAGTAAAAATAAAGGCAGGGTCATTTTAGAGAGGTTCGTTACGGAGCAGGGGAGGAGGAAGCCGACTCAGGGACTGACTGCTGAGTGAGTGCTGTGGGTCCTGTGGCAAACCTCCGGTCATTCTCCACCGTGCCCGCCAGGAGTGGAGTTACTTACTGCTGTGTTAGCTTCAAACACTTCCATGTTCAGTGAGGTGTGAAGACCTTAAGCTGGACTAATACTGAATTATTATCTAAAAAGAAAAAGGGGTAGCTTTGTTCCACTTTGTGCTGGTCAAGCCGCACCGGAGCTCTGCGTTCACTTGGTGAGGCGTGCTGCTTTGTAAGAGGAACGTGACCGGGCAGTGAGGAGGCCCAGGCCTCCCGCGGAAGGTCTTAGCGCCGAAGCAGGATCACACGGGCCGTGGTGGAGGCCAGAGTCAGGTTTCTGCAGCTGGGGAACTTTCTGCTAGAAAGATGGGCGGCCTGTCGTGGCGAGTCCCTGATAGAAATGTCTCAGGACGTCTTGTAGTGGCGTGTAATGGGGACGCTGCACAAGGTATTCTGCAGAGCCCAGAATAGCAAAGGGCTCTCCAGAGGGTGAGCAGGAGCCCTGGGTCGGAGTGATTGTCATACACACTCTGAGGTAGAGCCTGAGGTGGCCCTTCTCCTCGAGGTGTTCAGACGCAGAGAGAGCTGCCTGCCCCTGCCAGGTTCTCACAGGAAATTCTCATGTGCGGAGCCCACACCAGATCACTGGTTCTGGATCTTCTGGGGCCTAAAGCATCCGGGATCTTGTTGCGCAGGAGTCTGCAGTTCTCACGGCTGCCGGGTGAGGCTCATGGTGCTGGCCCGATGACCAGGGTTTGAGTAGCAAGTCACCAGGTGACTCACGGTTGAATACAAAATTCGATGTCAAATTACATAAACGGAATGGAGAGTTTTGGGCATTCATTATCACATTTTGTATTCAGGTTCAACTTCTATGTGAACTGTTTTAGCATATATTACATCAAATGTAGGCATAATTCCCAAAATAGTCTCATTTGTTTTTCAGAGAATATCTAGAAAGAAATGGTGACACAGGTTTTCTCTCTGAATTTGTGAATCTTGGTGTTTGGTGTCAGTGTTACACCGACAGGAAGCCTACAGCTGAATAAGTGCTCGTTTCTGTGTTCCTTCTTTCTCCTCCTTCCTTCCTTCAGAGGCTAATACGTGTTGAATCTGAAACAAGTGTCGCCAGGGGTTGCACTAGGCAGTCACGGTGAACACATGTGCCCGAATCCCTTCCTCGACATGCGAGTGGGGAACAAATCAGCACACACACAAAACGGTAAACATGAAGCACTCATGGTGCGTGCAGGTCAAAGAAACAGCAGGAAAGAGTCGAGAGCATTGGTGGAGGGAGGTTTGCATCTTAGATGGAGAGGCTGTTGGTGGCCCAAGCAAAGGTAGTTTAAGTAGGTGAGTGGCAAAGGGACACAGACATCTCAGGGACGGTTGTCCAGGTGGAGGTCAGTGGGCCGGCCTGGGTGGCTGTGCGCCTGCCCTGTGCGGCCGGAGCAGAGTGGGCGCAGGGAGACTGACCCTGCGGCATCGTCAAGATTTCCACTTCTACTCCGAGCGAGGCAACAGTCAACTGGAGGTGGGAGTGACCATTTCCGGTAACAAGGAAAGGTCTCCTGTGTTTTTCAGCTGGGAACTGAAGCGGAAAGCAGCCAGGCCACAGTGGACATCTATGAAAGAGAAGCAGCCATTGAGATAGACTACAGCTCCCTGAGAGAGGACTTGAAGGTAATCGGAAGGTTTCCGTTGTCTATGACCAACAGTATATTGAAAATTTAAATAAAGCAGAATAAGTTTTAGTCCATGGAGCATAAGTGCTGGAGGGGTAGATTTCCTAATGGTTTATGAAGAAATCGTGTAGATAGGTTACATTTTAAATGTGTGTATCAGCATCTCTCACTGAGTGTTTTGTAGGACACTGTACCATGAAACTCTTGCCAAAGAAGAAAGGTTTCTTGGTCGCCAGCTTTCTGAAAGGCTACCCCTTCTTGGAGATTCACCATGAACATGAAAGTCTGAAAAGTCCTGCAGTGGACAAGAGGAGCCAACGTACTCCGGCATCCTCTTGCCCATGGCAGGTCCCAGGCAGTGCCCAGTAGGTGGCGTCCTTCCCAGCTGCCGAGCACAGACCAGGGCAGCTCTGCGCTCTCAGTCACCTGTGGGCGTGGGCGCTCTGCTCTTGGTGTCTGGCTGTCCTGAGGCTGATGCTCTCAGGAGGGCAAAGCGGCTGCAGCCATTGTTGGCTTTCCAGCCAAACCAGGACCTTCAGGGGGAGAGGCCTGTGCAGTGGCACTGTTCTTACCACTAAGGAGGCTTTTCCTGCCAAGCTGCAGCAAGTGGCCCCTCGTCACAGTGGCCTGAATTGGGACAATGTTCATTCCTGACCAGTCACCTCCCTCCCACCCCCACCCCAGGTACATGGGCCCATGAGGGAGAAATGGTCCCGTGGGCCTGCGAGAAAGGCAGAAATGATGAAAGCAGGGACGCAGAGAGCAGGATCCCCCACGGCTTTTCATTTCATGTGTTCTTCGTATGCTTTGTTACATTTGTTGGGCTCTGATCGTACTGTGGTATCTTCAGGCAATCAGAAACAGCTTTTGTCTTTCCTATAGTCTACTTAATGCTTTATTTAGAAAGTCCTACCTACTTCATTATTGAATAAATATATTCCTTCCTGTTTATCGTTTTAATTTCATCTGAAATTGATTTTAGTATATGATATGAAATAATCTATTTTTAAAAAGGTACCTAAGTTAAGCAATTTACTCAATGTTTTTCAAATAATTCTTCTCCCAATAAATTGTCATCTTTATCATATAGTAACCACCCCCTCTGAGGGGTGAAGCTCATTTTCCTGGAAGGTCAGGCCTGCACCACCACCTTTTCCCTTTCCTCCTCGCTCAAGCTAGTGCTCTTGTTGTTTGGCTTTCAGCTTTCGTGATACCCTCCAGGTGGGTGGTTTGGCCCTCCCTGGCCCTCCGTCCCTGGCCTGCTGGGGTCCCACATGCTGTAGATGCCGTGTGTGTGTGTGTGTGTGTGTGTGTGAGCTCCTGAAGGGCAAGTTTGTATTGTTGCATCCTCGGTGTCTAATAGATGGTCAGTACTTTTAAAGAAAGAGTAAATGAAGGTGATAGCTGAATTGTTGCTTTCTAGACAGATTAATATGGAGGTGAAGCACATTCCAAGAGAGCAGTGTCTGTAACACCAACTGAAGCCAATGAGAGGACACAAACAGTGCACCTGAATGTCAGCCTGGAGAGGGCCGTGTGGGAGGGCGGGCGACAGGGCCAGACCCCACAGGGCTCTGTGCCTGATCCCTTAGCAGTTGGGATCTAGAAGGCGTGCTAATTGTTGCTCTTCGCTCCAATAACAGGCTCTACAATCTGATAAGGAAGTTGAGGCCCATCTTAAACTCCTTCTGCAACAAGTAGCCTCGCAAGAAGAAGTCCTGTTGAAGACAGCAGCCCCGAACCTCCGAGCCTTGGAGAACCTGAAGACTGTCCGAGACAGGTTTCAGGAGTCCACAGATGGTGAACTTTAGCAAGCTCATACTCAGGGGGGTTTGGGTTTTGATTTCTATAACACTTCTCAGCAACCCCCCCTGGATTGTACATTTGTTTTTATTATGTGTGTATTTTTCTTTGTCGTCTTATATTCATATGTACTTTTAATACCGAATCACTAATTGCTTCCCTTTTGAAAAGTGTTCTGCTTTAATTAAAAAACAAGTTTATTGGTTATTTTCGAGTAGGTAATATATTTTATATTAGCATAATAGGCATATTAGGTACTGTATTAGAACTTGTCATTATTTTAAAATTCACCCTATCAGAAAAAGGGCTTGTCAGTTATAAGAGCCATATTCATGGAGTTAATAATTGAGTTATTTTCCATGTAGATTTTATTCAAGACAATCAAAATCTAATTTAAAAAATAATTTATGCTTTAAAGTTGAAGAGACATCCCTCCACGGTCTCTACAGTAAACAACACCGATTCTCTCTTAGCTTTTGAGGCCAGCAGAAAGGAAGCCAGAATGCGTAGGCAAGAGTTTGAACAGGTGAAAAAAAGGAGATATGATCTTTTCAGCCAGTGTTTTGAGCACATCTCAGTCTCAATTGATCAAATCTACAAGAAGCTCTGCAGAAACAACAGTGCCCAAGTATGTATCTTTTTACCCCAAAATGTTAGTAAAAACTTTGTTATTGGTAGTGCTTTTTTTCTGATGGGAAACAAATACCCACCACATTATTTGAGTGACCCACTGACAGGACAAAGTCAGCTGATGAAGACTGGTTACATAATGGCCTGTGCTCAGTCCCCCACTCTAGCATCACCAGCCTGGACAAGTCCAGCTCTCTCTAGTCCTGCTTCTTCCCCTGCAGAATGAGTGCGTTCAATCATTTGGTTTCCAAGTTCCCTTTACTTCTGGAATTGTTGTCTGGTCCTAATTTAATTTTCTAGAACTGAAGTGAGGCAGGGTCATGCAGAGGATCTTGGTAAAGGCTGATCTGGGCTTTCGAAGGTGACCTGAGTAACAAAGGGAAGGGAAGAACCAAAGGCTGGATTCCAATCCAGTTACATCCATTGTAATGGTGGTTTCTGCTGGAAGCACGCCTTCCGTTGTCGAAATCCACAGCAAACACTATGGCGCTGGATGTGGAATAAAGATGTAGATTGGGTCTCAGGATCTGCTTTTACTCCTTCTCATGATGTTCCTTTATGCCGAGAGCTGATACTAGAGCAGAGATTTAGAATTTCAACCAGAAATAATTTACTTAGTTTCAGTAAAGCGGGACTATAAAAGTCCCATTAACTGAGGACAGGATTCATCTGAGTCTACAGTGCATGGCCCCAAATAGGTGTTCCAAAAATGGTCAATGAATGGACCAGTGAGTGAACTGAATGAAGACTTTTTAAAGACTGGCATGTGCTGTTGTGGCTTGAATGGCAGTGTGTGGAAGGCCTGATTCTTCATGTATGCTAGAATGCTTTTCCTCTCCTCCCACCCAGACAACCCTGTTGCCTGTGACTGCATATAGAGCTAAATACATTATTTATAGGCATTGATATCTTTCCCAAAAAATGGAGGAAAACCTAACCGATAAAATATTTTTGCAGTTAATAAGCCTGTTGCAAATCCAAGTTAAATATACTAATTGCTTTTCTGATTTTGCTAATTAAGTAACGTGTGTTTCAGGCATTTCTTAGCCCAGAGAACCCAGAAGAGCCTTACTTGGAGGGAATCGGCTATAACTGCGTGGCCCCCGGCAAACGGTTCATGCCGATGGACAACTTGTCGGGGGGAGAGAAATGTGTGGCAGCTCTGGCGCTCCTGTTCGCTGTGCACAGGTGAGGCCGCCGTGAGCTGTGGGGCTTTTGTATCAGCACAGAAACCAAATGGACCTCCTGCAGCAGGCATGTCGCGCCGCAGGCCTCGTTTATTTGGCTCCTGTTAGCCTTTGAGTTTGACATGCTTGTCCTACAGAATCCTGTTAATTGCTTGTCTTTAGTTGTGTTTAGCGTATGTGAATACAAAACTGTTTTCTCCAGCCAGACAATTCAGGTGATATTTTACATCTATAACAATTTAGACAGATGATCTAAGAGAAAATTCAGTCTTTAACAGATTTTAATTAAATTTCTATTATCAGTGGCTACTGATATTTTAGATTTATAGAAAGGAAGAAAAATAAATATTTGGAATAGCCAGATGTGACATCAGAATTACAAGAAAAACAATAACAAACCCCAATCAAACAAAAACACCCAACTTGTATATTATTTTCCTGGTCCACATTTGGAGATCTGCTGTTTAGTAAAGAATGTTAAGCGAAGTGTTTCTTCTGAAAAAAATGTTTCACCTCTCATTTCCACTGATGGTGGCACTGTTCATAAAATCAATCAAGGAAAAGTTAGCCAACATGAAGGCAATTAACTTTCAGCATCCAGAGCACTAGGCGAAGATCTCAGGAGATGATGCTGCCTCTATCTCATGTCAAGAAGAATAGCATGGAAGTTCTGCAGCTGGTTTTTATTGATCTCAAGAAGGAAGAGGAATAGGCCATTACAAGAAAGAAATGCCATTAGTGCCGGGGGCTTAGGGAAAGCCGAGCAGGGTCTAACTGGCAGCTTGTGTTGAGTAAATCTTGCCAAATAAGATGATTTCTAGGTATCACCCCCACCACCACCCACTTATTCAACAGATAAGCATATATTTACTGTGGCAGGTGGTGGTTAGGCATTGGAGAGAGAGCAGAGAACAAAGCAAAATCAATCTCAAAGATGACTTCATTCTAGGCGGGGAAGACAGTTGATAAATAAGGTGTATTAACAAATGAATTCTCTAATGTGAGACTATGACAAATAGCAAATGCTGTAGGGAGAAAAATTAAAGCAAGGAATGGAGATAGTAGGGAAGGGTTTGCAATATTAGAGAGTCATCCGGGAAGGCCTCCTTGAGAAGGTAACAATTGAGCAAAGATACAAAGGAATTAGGGGAGCAAGAATGTAGACATAACGATCAGCAAGTGCAAAGGCCCCGTACGGCCAGAGTGAGCCTGGCCTCTGTGGAGAAGAGACTGTGCAGCAGTGTCAGGCATGGGTTAAGCCCTAACCTTTAGGGAACTAGTGTTGGACCAGGGTGAGAGCAGAAGGGTCATCAGAGACCAGCATGGGGCATGGAGGAGTCAGGATGGCTCCAGGGGTTCTGGCCTAATCAGCTGGAGTGAAACAGCTGCCATTAGCTGAGGACAGGGACACCACAGAAGGGATTCGGTTTGGACAGGCAGGTGAGGCATTTGATTTTGGATGAGTTTGAGCTGTTTATCAGACACCCGTGTGGAAATCGCTGAGGAAGCTGTTAAATGTGTGCAGTGAGAGTTCGTGGTTCTCAACCTTGGCTGCACATTAGAATCACCTGGGAATCTTTTTAAAATCCTGATTTGTGGGCCTCATCCTCCGGAAATTGTTTCTTTGTTACTAGTATTGTGGCCTCACCCCATAACAAACAGAATTTCCAGAGGATGAAGCCTGGAAATCAGGATTTTAAGATTCCCAGGTGACTCTAATGTGCAGCCAAGGTTGAGAACCACTGGTTCAGAAGATCAGAACTCTCAGAAGTGTGGAAGCCATCCACACGTGGAGTCACTTACAAACTTGGGATCAGGTGAAACCACCCAGGGAGCTAATTAGATAGAGGCGCACTCTGAGCACTGAGCCCCTGGGCACCGGCACCGGCAGTGTTCAGTAGAGAGACTAGGAGTTCGCAGGCCAGACTGGGAAGGAGCAGTGAGTACAGGGGGAGGGGGAGGGAGAGACCCTGTCACCCTTGACATCAGAGGAACGGGCGGGAGCACCACCCCAGGTACTACCTGCAAAGGACCCTTGGAACACGGACTGAGAATTGATCATTGGATTTAGCAAAGTACAGCTCGTTGGTGGCCTAGACACCAGCATCCAAGAGGATGTATCTGCATCTGGTTAATCCTCTCCTCCGAGTCTTTGTAAAACAAATGGGAAGTGGTGACCTCTCATTTCTTCCAGTTTCCGGCCTGCGCCGTTCTTTGTTCTGGATGAAGTGGACGCAGCCCTGGACAATACGAACATCGGCAAAGTAAGTTTCTTTCTGCATTTAATTTCCTACAGGATGCCTGGAATCCAGTGTACCCCGAGCAAAAACTGTTTGATAACTGTTGGTTAAAATCAAATTTAAATTCAGTATCTACAAGCAACATGGTTCAGGGGAGTTCCATTCAAGATGTAGGGGAGCCTCAGAGTTGGGGAATCTGCATGGAGTTGAGGGAAGATTGCAGTGCGGGCCTCTCCTGATCTAGAGCTTGGGACCTTAGAGTCACTACTAGGTCCCGTGGCAAACAGGACCAAATCAGTTTAATAAAGTACAAAACTAACATCTCTAACTAAAATTTCAGAATTTAAGTTCAAAACTGTAACCCCCCAATATATTTATGAACATTTATCCAGTTGCTGCACTTGTGCAGGATCATGTTTTCATGTTTAAGACGAGGGAACTAAGGAAACAGCTAGCTCTTGAGAGTCCAGTCTGAGGTCAGCCTTGACGATCAGTGCAGACACACACCACCTGGAGAGGCTCTCAGGCCACGCTTCTTGACATGAGAGTGGTTCAACCATGGACGCATGGCCGAAGGACAGAGGCAAATACCGGCAGGACCCATCACTCCCCAGGGGAGGGGTCCCTCTGGCCCACAGACTCCTTCCTGCAGAGAAAACCCACTTCTGATGGATGACGAGACTCCTGCTTCTCCTTCCAGGCGCGTCCTTCCTCCAGAAGCGGCTGGGCTTTGTGTTTACAGCTGCTGATGGACCAGGAGGCTGCCCTGGTCCTGCCGGCCGATGTGTTTCTCATTCATTTGTAAACTGGTTTACACCTTAGTCCTGTGAGCTTGGTTAGAGTCCCCCCTTTGAGAGATGCATCTGATCTTGGGTACCACTCTGGTTCTGAGTCTCTGAAGCTGACCTCCCCGACTTCTCTGCCGGGTCTCTCTGGAAGGCTTGGGAGTTAGGACTTCCAGGAGCTACAGTCTGAGGCACCTTCGAGTGGCATGAAGGTTGCCTCTCAGCATTCCCAAGGGGCACTCATCTAACCCACCTCTCTGGGAGCCTGCTCTCTGGACATGTCACAGTGGACATAGAACAGCACAACTTTAGAACCACACACTGGTCCCTGGACCTTGTGGAGGACAGGCAAGAGCCACATGCTGTGCCCTGCCAGACTGTCGGAGAGAATGCTAGGAACACAGAACACCTCGAATGCCAACCAGTCTACATCAGCTACCTGGACTCCAGGCCTGACTCATTTGGGAGAAATCGCCCCTTTAATGCATTTGGGCACTTTGTACCCCCTCTTCTGGTACAGGGGGTGAGGGGACATCTTATTTTGGTAGGCTGCATCTTCTCAGTGGCATTTAGGATGTCCATATCTTCTTGCAAAATCCAGACGTATTCATGGTATCCCCAGGTACTAGGTCTAACATAAGATGCGTCATCACCTAGCCTGTGTATTAAAAGCCTCTTTGCTCCGTTTCCCTTAGGGGTGTGCGCTCCTGGCACCCTACTGCGCACTCAGGCAGTTTGGTAGTATGAACAGCTAAGCAGCAGCTCCACCACTGCTTGTGATCCGGTTGCCCAACCCTTACCCAGGCAACTTTGCAGGCAAAACACACGCCCTGCGTCTTTGCATCCTCCCTCCTCTTCTATCCAGTCAGTATCCTGGGACTCAGTCCTGCATCGGGATGACTACTGTGCCCCTCAAGTTGGAGTTCCTTCTCTGAGTCCAAAGCAGTTTCCCTCCTCAGGGTTCAGCTCCCTAGTGACTCACTCCTCCCTGAAGCTCGCCATTCCTGCCTCCGGTGGTGCGTCCTTGGTATCGTCCTTAGCATCGCGGGTGCAGCCAGGACCAGGGCACACGGAGAAGCCCCTCCAGGCAGGGAGAGCGGGAGCTGGAAGTGTCTCAGTGAGGCTTGGGGCCTAGGTCACCACCCTCCTGGCTGAGCAGGTGCTCACTAAGACCCATTTCTGTGCAGACTATCCTGTTCTGCTCGGTCCTGGGAACCGACCTTCCTGAAAAAACCACCTCCCCACAGGACTGGGTCATGAATACGTCATTGCCATCGTTTCCCTCTTTCAGGCTTTGAGTTGGCAAAATAGGAAGTTGGAAGTTTAAATACCTGCCCTTATTCACCCTCATAAAATATCTGAGTGGTAGTTCTTATACTGTTAATAAAGGCTTGCTTTATACCATATTGTAGATAAGGCAGAGTTTTATCCTTAAAGATATTCCTAAAGTTTTAGATCATAGATTTAGAGGTATCTTTCCTAACCTCTTATTTTAGACTCTGAGCTATTTCTGTGGTTGGAGTGGGTTTACCAAATTACCAGGGAGGCAAGTAAGTTCCTGTCACCTAAACAGGCAAACAGACCTGCAGGATCACTGGCCCCGGGCCCAGAAACGAGGCCTTCCTTGCTGGTGAAATTTGTGCTTTTTCCTTCCTACCAGGTAGCAAGTTATATCAAAGAGCAGACTCAAGAACAGTTTCAGATGATAATCATCTCCCTCAAGGAGGAGTTCTATGCCAAGGCCGACGCCCTGATCGGCATCTACCCAGAGGTAAAGATGAGCACCCTTCCTGTCCTTTCTTCCTGGAGACACTGCTGGGTTTCTGCAGTGATAACTACAGGCTTACATTATTTTTTAATTAAATAAGATTAAAAGTAACTACTCAGGTATTTTCCTGTGACAGTACAAAGATTTAAGATCTGAAAAGGCAAATTGAAAATTACAGAATTTTCTTTATAAAATAACAGCATATTTACACAAAGTAAGCTGTAATACTGTATTCCTATTTCTGTAATGTTTGAATGTTTTAGGCAAAAGCAAATGTATTGTGGTAGAACCAGTAAGGAACCATTTATCTTCCAAAAATACCAGAGGGAAAAGCAAAGAAATTGAAAGTTCCAAGTTGTATAGTAACTTTTAGAAGTGAACAAATATTTCTTAAGCTATTCAAAATACTCGAGGTAATAGAGGGTTTCTGATCATTCCATGTTTGGACAATGAGTTGCTAAGATAAAAATTTCCCTTCCTGTGCCTACAAATTGTTAGGGGACCACTGGAGATGTGCTGCAGGAGAGAAATGAAAATTCTCACACGGGGTAAGGGAGGAAAACAATCTCAACCGTCTGCCCACCTTAGCGGCTCTGGCTGGGCCTGTAAATCAGAAAAGCAAGCAGGAGCATCATGGCTGAGTACCCCAAATGGGTGGCTAGAACTTGGGCTCCTCTCCAGTCTTAGGCTGAAGTGAGGGAAGGAGCAGGGGGAGGGGGAGCAGAGGTGGAAGGTGACCAGGAAAGCATGGTGACCAAGCCACGTTTGCTCTGCAGATCACATAGGTGCCTTTCGTTGACAGCACTCGTTAAGAGTAGGGAAGGTGTGAATTTAGAAAAGCAGGACTTGTGGCCAGTGTTTAGAGCTTTTCCTGCATCTCAGTAGCTCCAACAGTCCACATGCCAGAGCCCTATTTTGGCGTGGCACATCCTGATACCCTGTCCAGGTAATACAGAAATGAGCTAATAAAGCTGATGTAAACGCAAGCCATTGATACCTTCTGAGGTGGCCATACCACACGTTTCCTTTCAAATGCAAGTCCAGATTCACTACTGGCTCTTGTTTTAGGCTTAATAGCACCTTTTCCTTCGTAGAAGGACTAACTTAGCTGTCTGCTCTTCATTTCAGCACGATGACTACATGTTCAGCCGAGTTCTGACTTTAGATCTTTCTCAGTATCCAGACACTGAAGGCGAAGAAGGCAGCAGGAGACAGCGAGAGTCCCGCTAGGGTCCGAGTGCCCCGGCGCAGCTGCCGGCTCTCAGAGCGGATGAGTTAGCTGTGTCAGGTCATCACTGTTCAGTTCTCACTCTAGTGTTCAAACTGTTGAGTAACCAACTTCTGGAGGCAGCCAGCCTGTGTGCCGCCTGAGAAAGCTGAACCGTTACCAGCAAAGGCGCTGCTGCTCACTTCCGTTAGGAGTGTTCGGGCCCCGCTCCCGTAGGGGAAGTTTCCTGGAAGAGTTAGCTTTGAACGATTTAAAAAAAAAGGGTACAATTTTGTTACCATAGTTTCAAGTTCCATTTTGAAGCCCAGCCAGAAAAATTTTGAATTCTACATCCTCTTCACTCTGGTCTTGCCTTATCCATTTAAGGAATGTTTAAAGGATAGTCTTGGTTTCTGAATATCCTACTTATAGGGTGTTGAACCTGGGTTTTGAGAAATTATTTCAGAGGAACTGATGTATGAAAATATCAATAAAAATACTCTAATTTCAAATGTTTCCAAATTACAGTTTTATAAACAAAAATTTTAAGGTGAAACAATTATGTCCACTTTAATGCAATCTGCATTTTCTAAATGTAATTTCTGTTCAGAAGGAAATGAACAGACTTTCCCAAGTAACAACTGACTTTGCCATTTCAGTGCATTGTTCCAGGTGGGAAAGACAGTCAGCAGGACTTTACTTCCATCTCAGGACGGAACAGAACATGGGGAGGTGCTACTGGTCTAGTGGAGACTGCGTGGGGCCCAGGTGCCACCAAGGAGTAGCTCCTGAAGTAGCAGACTCGCTTTCAAACTACACTCACGTTGCATATAAACAGGACGCACTGTGCCCGACGTTAAGTCACAGCCTTGCTCCCTGCTCACAGCTCCTCTGTGAACTGGAGAACAGAAACCACTCGGTCTCCCTGTGTTCCTTGTTTCAGTGCCGGCAATAGCACCTCAATCTCCAACTTTCCTGCCTTGAAAGACATCATCTTAACACTGTCATGTCCCTTCAGTGCCATCAGAGCTGTGGCCCCTTCCTCTTCCTGGGCTGCCCGTTCTCATAACCTGGACTCAGGCGGCAGGTCCTCAGGCAGCATCCTCGCATTCCTGAAACCACCTTCTATGCAAACCACCACACAACAGGACACGGGTTGGAACACCACACTCCAAAAACAAAGTAGGAACCAGATAACAGCTAGTTTACACATATTACATGGTTAAGAACCACACAAATATTACAGCACACATGGCACTTTATCTTGAAAATGCCCAGAAGTCGGGTTGTGTAGTGGGCATCGTCGGGTCCAGTGGTGGAAGGGTAGTTGACCTAGTTTCCCACGGACAGAGCCTTACATGCGCAAAGCAGGTGTGCGCAAATTGTTCCTCATTCATCAGTCATGTTGCTTTAAGTCTGCATTTTACACAAGGGTTACGGCAGAACTGACTACAGACAGGCTCACTCCTCACGGCAAGGCCTCCGCCCCGGCATGGCACTCGGAGTGGCACTTGGAGCTGGTCCTGAGCGGGCCCTGCCTCGCCTCGCTTTTCCAGGCGTCCCTCCTTCCACGTCACTCTCCCATGTCTGCCCAGCCTTCAGACACATCCATCCCTGATCGCACTTTGTGAGTCTTTAAAAAAACAATGTCTAATGTTTGCTTTTCAAACACTAAACACATTCAAGTAATCACTTGATTTCACAGTTGAGTGGCAACTCATGGTAAAAATCCTCCTTGAATAAATTAAAACAAGCCTTGTCATAACTGGAGAAAAGTTGAGCACACAGAGTTGAAGTGAAAGTTTTATGACCAGAGTAGCATAAAGGATTTGTTTTTCATGCTTTTGAAAGCAGACAAAGGTCTTAGCAGGTCCAGCTCATCTCTGCCTCCACGTCCCAACCTAACGTTTCTAGTTCTTTGTGCCTGTGGGAGTTCCAGCGCCGTCAGTGGGGAGAGTCATCGTGCCTGGCCAGAAGTGTCACATGCAAGCAGGCAGCCTCTAAAGCAGACTGAGCAGGGCCTTTGCCACAGTCACAGAGCAACCACCCACTGCGCCCTCTGCCCCAGCACTGCCGGCAGCTGAGCGCCTGCCAGCAGGGAAGCAAGACACGGGTGCGGCAGCCCCTTCCCCAGGCCGGCCTGCCTCACGCTGTGCCCCGTCGTGTGCCATGGCAGAGAACGTTGGGAGGTGGGAGACTTGGAAAGCTTGGGGTTGATACTCTAACTGCAAGTTTAAAACCTGCTCTGCTCCACTTGTAACTTCTCAGTTATCAGCCTCAAGGCGGACTTGCACCGCCCTGCACTGCACCACTGGAAAGGCCCTCTGCCCTGGCCGGCGGCTCAGTGGGTTAGAGCACCATCCTGTGCAGAAGGCTGAGGGTTAATCCCTATTAAAGGTACTAACGGAAGGCAACCAATCGATGCTTCTCCCTGCCTCCCTCCCTCTATAAAAAAGAGACCTCTGGTTCTTCGTGAGGATGCTCTAACGCCTCAGGGACGGACCAGCCGTTCTTTGGAACTAAGTTCCTACAATTACGGCATTCCAAAGAAGCCCTACTGATCCAGACATTCTTTTAAAAGACGTATCACTCTCACTGGCAGATTCAACACCTCGAACATTCTTTACTTAACAACGTAACAAACATACCTTAAAAGTTTTTTCTATGGTAACATGTTTCCGCATAAAAATTGTAAAATTTAAGAGTCTAGTTTCTTTTCTCTTTGGCAACTACTGTTGCTTGTAGTCTCCTCTGTCCCCTTTATTAGGAAGCCCACCTGACCTCGGGTGTGTTGGGGAGCCCGGGGCACCAGGCCCCTCCCTTCCTGCCGTCGGGCCCTGAGGTAGTTGTCCGCCAGTCCTCACGGAGGATACCTGAGGTGTGTGCTTCACCCCGAGCAGTGGGACTGTCCCCCCGCCTCCACGGCCACACCCCACAGGGCTCTCGTGGGGTACATGACGGTTAGAAGTGAGAGGTCCGTGCGAGTCCTCGAACATTCCTCATCGTCCGCTACGGCACTGTGGTCACAGAAGGCTGGTTTTCAAGTTGCAGGTTTGTCGGTTTTAAAGATTTCAAGATGCGCCAGCATCGTCTGTTTAAACAGAAAGGAATACAAGATGTGAGGTTCAGCTCGAAAAAGTATTTGCCATAGGATTTCTATTCCAGAAAATTTTGTTTTTCTCATGTGCTGAAGACTCAGAGAATGCCTCCATGCTGGGAGCAGTAGCCACTGTCCAGAAATGGCTTTGTGCTGGAAGCACCCCCCGGGGCACTGGGTTCTGTAAGAGCCGTGGAAACCGCCGTGAACGTGGTTGCCCCTCCCTTCGTAGAGGCAGAGGCGGTGTCAGCACATGCGATGGCGCCTGGTCAAGTGCAGACGGAGGCGGCTGTGGCAGGGGGAGCCCGCAGCTCCCCCTCAGCTCTCCCGCCTGCGCAGGACGGCCGGCAGCGCGAAGATGAACCTGGGCCTCACCCACACGCAGGACAGGCCAGCTTCCTGCCAGAAAGAGACCAAGGCCTGCCGGGCAGAAGCTGCTGGGAGAAGCAGGCTGTGGACGCTGCCGCCTCACACCCTGTCCACCAGCAGAAAGCCTGCCGCCTGCAGCACCCCGCTCCGAGTGCCCCCCACGTGAGAAAGGCTGTGTTCACAGCAGCAGCAGAAACCCACGGTCCGGCGAGACCACCACTGGGCCGGCCTCTCACATCTGCGGCCCTGAAGCCGCCGCAGGAAAGGAACACTGGCCACAAGGACACAACTCGGAGACACTAGTCTTGTTTGATTTTACTCAGTCTCCACGAGCTGAATTCACAACCCATAAGACCGCAAAGAATTTATCCAAAATGCTATCACGGAGGAACGCTCCCTCTAGCGGCCGCACGGTGCCGTTCTACTAAGTGCCCTGAATGTGTACCAAACGGAGGAGAGGCCATGGGAGCACTACTGTCCTCCACGAGGTCCCCAGCGCCCGCTCTCCTCCACCCCCGAGTGACAGAAGACCGTCCACTCTCCAGCCACCAGTCCTACCTCGGGCCCCACCCACCCTGCAAGCAGCCAATGTCAACAACTGCCGTGCTTGTGACTTCCTCTGGTTGAGTGTCATTTGCATCATTATGAGCCTTTACATCTACAACAGACTATTCGACAGTACGTGGTCCCTGTGGCGTAGAAGGAATGCAGTGTCGCAGTGTGGCTCAAACATACCCAGGGGGGAGTTTAAATGTGAAATAAATAGGCAACTGACAGGGCACATGCTGTGGCGCTCCAGAAGTTCCTGTGGGTTACTGTGTGGTGTTTAGAGTGTTTTACTGAAATTCCTTATAAAGTAGTAAGAAATAAACTGTTACCTGAACCCCACACCACCACCACCACCAATGGGGTTTTCAGAGATGGACCGAGTCAGGTACCGCGGGAAGCCTCTGCTTTCTTAGAGGCCTGAGATGGTATCACAGTCCTAACTAACAGATGCTGAGGCAGAACTGAGGACACAAGAGCACCTGGAAACTAGCCACCACGCTGTCAGATTCACTGAACCCAGAGGCTAGAAGGTAACTGTGGAAATCTCGCAGAAAGGTTTAAAAATAATGGAGACAGAAAATGAAAACGAAGACGTTACAGGAATGGACAGAAGTCAGCAGTGGACAGCAGTGTGAATCCAAGAGGGGGAAGAAGACGGGCATAACCAAGGAAGCCACGGATTGTTCCAGAATGGAGAGACGGGGAAATGGCGCACTGCATACAGAAGAATCCAGAAAAACACACTGATGGGATTCAACACCAAGTGCCCAGACAGGACTCCCACATTGCACTGGGAACGGGGTTGCACCAGACCGTCTTCGACGGGAAACCTGGGCGCCCAAGACGGCAGTCACCTTTGGGTGGTGTTGGGGTGACTGAAAAGTGGGGGGGGGGTTCCCAACACTGCTCTGCGTCTGGAACCAGATGGGATACGTGGGTGTATTCACCCTGTGAAAATTCACTGCTGACCTCACAAGTTCTCTACGTATTTTTTCAGCAACACCTTAATGTAAATGAACTGAAGTGACAGGCATCTCTCCTCCCTCCTCCCTCCTCCAGGACAAGGGCAGTGAGCAGCAGCGCCGGCCCCACCCACAGGCAGGCCCCCTGGGGCCCACAGGAAGCCTGGGTACCTGAGGGCCGGAGCTGCTTAGAAGCTTCAATTCCGTTCTCCTCCAGCTTCCTCTTGGCGCAGTCCTGGCACCCACTCCCTGCGAAGAGACGCTCGTTAGAAAGCTGCTGCTCCGCGCCCCCCACGGAGGCCACACCCGCTCAGCAGGGGCTCTAAGGAGCGCCTGCCTTTTCAGGAGGCGGCGCTGGGGGCCCTGGAAGGGAGACAGCAACACAGCCGTGTCCCGCACCGACGCAGGGGAGCGGGAAGCTGAGCACACAGACGTCCCTGTCATGCCTGAGCGGCTGGGACCCCGAACGGTTCTCATTCCTGAACTGAGCCCACCGCTCGGGAGATCCGTGTCTGGGCCGCCGGACCCAGCGGTGGGGAGGCGGGGGCTGACACGGAGGCCCCGCTCCCGGGTGAGCCTCTTCTGACCCACAAGCTGCCCAGCGTGCAGGCTGAGCCCCGCTCCCCCCAGGAGGCCGCGGGCAGCCTCCTGTATAGACAGAGGCAGGCAGAGTGGAGCAGTAGAAAAAGCATTTGCATTTCAGACACATGTTAAATAGAACATTTCCTACGAAAGCTTAGAACCTTTACAGTTAAACTTCTGAAGGGGACAGGCCATGAACACCCCTCAGTTGATGCCCTGAGCCCGGCTGGGGGACAGGAGTGTCCTCGAGCCGTGTTCCACTACACGGTGCTCCCGGCGGAGGGGGGCGCTGTCGACCCTTCCCGGTGGCAGGCCTGTCCTGGCACTACTGTGTCCTCAGGCCGGTGTTTAATGTGAGGACGTGTCTATGATTTACAAATAGCAGCGGAAGACAATGGAACGTGTCGGCAAAACCAAGATGCGCCTTACCCAGCGTGGTGCTGTCCGCTCGGTCAGCATCTGGAAGAAAGGAAAACGGTCAGAGATGGAGGCACGTGCGCCCCTCCAGCTGCAGGGGCGGTGAGGCTGCTGCCCAGCGTGACCACCGTCAGCCCCAGGCTGGTTAGGGTCCTTGCTCTCCACCTCCTAAGGGCCACACATGAAGCCCCGGCCCTGCAGGGGGCAGGGATGGCACCGCGGTCACTGTTTCTGTCCTCACCGTGTGCCACCCTCCCGCCAGGAGAGGCACCTCACAAACCAAGTACAGATGTCCCTGAGGCACAGACTGCAAGGCCCCCAGCGCTCCGGGAGCCGAGCGCATGCAGGCTCACATCAGGTCCTGGTGCCCGGGGCCCGGGGCCTGTGCGTGCGGAGGTGAGAGGTGGCGGTCAGGGGCAGAGGTGGCGAGAACGCCATCCGTTTCCAGAGCCATCTGAGCCCTGCTCAGGGACACCGGAGGGGGATGGTTCCCCCCACTGAGTCCAGGACCCCATTCCAGCTACAAACACCTGGGCCCCAGCCAGGCACAGCGTTCACTTCTGAGCCCAGCCCACACCTATAATCAGCTGCTGGCCGCCCTGGGCCACAGCGCAGCTCCCCGGCTCTTCCACAATGGCAACGCCCTCAAGCGTCCCACTTTGCTATTTACAGAAAGGGCTGGTGGGGAAACGCAAGTGCTGGAGGGCGGCATGGTCTCGGTGACTCTAGTCCTCACAGCTGGTCCCCTCTGCCACCGTCCCGTGCTGCACCCAAGGCCGTGTGGGGGCCTACGTTTCCTGTTACTCTTCAAGGACAGCCAATACAAACTCTTCCAGTCGCGTCATCCATGATTTATAAGACTCCAGGCCGGCAGCCGCCCTGTGTCGAGCTGACCGAGGTAGGAGTCGCTCTGCAACCTCGGTCACTCCCGGCAGGTGAGCACCTCCCAGGAGAAAGGCCAAGGAGAGGCAGTTAAGGAGCTCGGAAAGGCGTGATCTGAATGAAGCCGTCGTCCTGGGCGCCCTCTGCCCGCCGTTCTGTGAAGGACAGGCGAGCAGATCTGCTGGACGTGCTTTCCGTCCTGGGCAGCTCCTTGAGGCGCGGCCTCTGCACCTGAGCCGGTGTGCGCGGCTCCACGCACAGCTGTCGGCTGCGCAGACTGCACTGTCACCCCGTCCTCCATGATTAAAGTACACGGGGACAGTTTGGGGAAATAACTAAAAGCTGGTGAATGTAATGGTATGTAAAATAAGAGCTCAGAAAACATCTCTGTTTTATTTTGTGGTGGAAACGCTGGCAGGCCTGTGGTTTTACGCGGAGAGTGAAGGCTGCGTACCTGGGCTCCGCTGCCGGCAGATCTGCGTGGCCAGGTCCTGCACGTACCCCGGGAAGTGGTCGAAGCAGGCCCCGTAGGACACGACCTTGATGCCGTGCAGCAGCATGTCGGCCTGGTGCTTGAAGAAGTGGTCCTCGCTCTCCTTGAGCACCACCATGTAGTGCTCCAGGTCCACCTTGTTGGGCACCGAGTACAGGAAGAGTGCCTGGAAGATCTGGTCGCGCAGGGTCTCCCCGCAGCCCACGAACAGGAAGGACCTGGTGCGGTACAGGCTCTGGAACACCTCCTGGGAGACAATAGGGCGTGAGCCGCTTGGCTGGCGCTCGGCAGGACCCGGCCCACACTGCGCTTCTAAGTCATCCGCTCTGGGCAGCCGTCCCCAGGGCCACCGAGGAACCGGCAGAGGCAGCCCTGTCTCCAGGCCCCAGGCAACGTCCAGGTTACACGAACCGAAGTCAGCACAGCCTGCAGCCCACCCTGCCCACCGATTCTGAGCTGAGTGCCCACTCAATGCAAATTTTCTAAAATCGTGTACAATTTTAAAACACAAAATAAGGACGTGAAATGCCGTTCGGAACTGCACATGCCACACCCAGGAATTAACGTGTCTCAGTGGATCATAGACAGAAACTTTGGGGGGGCAGGAGGCTGGCGTCAGGGGAACAGGGTCTGGGGAGTGAGGGCAGCAATGCCGAGGAGGGACCAGGGACAGCGACCCAGGGGAGTGGGCACAGGGAAAGAAAGACTGTGTGGAGTCACTCAGGCCTGCAGTGGGGACCGACCCGTGTGGGATGCGTAGGAGGCAGCCGATCAATGCTTCTCTCTCATTGATGTTTATATCTCTCCCTCTCCCTTCCTCTCCGAAATCAATAAAAATATATTTAAATGAAAAGAAATTATGATTCTAAGACGTGATCTCATCTTGTTGTGTGCACATGTTATCATGTTTCCCTGAACTTTGGGGATTGATTGGAACACCCCACCAGCCTGATCCTCCTTC